GTTGTGTATTAAAGTGCATGCACCAGTGATTTGTTGCAACACATTTATATAACATTTTTATAATAACAGACACATTTATGGGGGGATTACTGACATTGGTGAAGTTAGCCAGAGCCTGGATATCATACTAAATTGTCTTTAACTCCTAACTGACTGAAGACCACAGTGATACAAGATGAGAAACTCAAAAAACTCAGCATGTCAAGTTAAAATCAGAAATTCTCATTTACAGAGGATATGAATAGGAAGTCATCCAAGGTAATCCAGTAAAACATTTACCCAAGCCATAGAAACGTAACCATTACTTTACCACCCAAACCAATAAGAAGTGGTGGTATAAAACATGAAAGGGGATTAAATATCCAATATTCAATCATAATTCAGTACATTGAATTCAATCCTTTTATCGGTATGGTGAATGTTATTGCCTCAGTTTTTTGTTTGAAAGACACTTAAAGGCAAAAAAAAAGAAGAAAGAAACAAGCCAAAACTATATTATATATTCAGCCATTATCTGAATTTACATCTGTAACTATTACATGAACATAAATCATTAACATATAAAGAAGTTCTGTGAGATGAACAATTTTTTATTTGGTATTTTTGAACATATATTTGCTTGGCTGATTTTCCATTCACACAAGTTCATCATGTTCTCTCTTGCTTGCAGGTTTTGGACCCTGGGAGAAGCTTTTAAGTGCATTCTATCTAATAAACACTATAAAAACAACTGAATAATCAGCTGAATTGTAGAGAAAAATCTTTTTCCACAGTATTGACCTCATCCAGTCAGAATCAGTGGTTGTACAGCCTGGACAGGCTTTAACATGCCTGGTTATTCATGGACTGATCAGAAAGAATGAAGAAAAATGAATGAACTAGATTTTGGTTCATTATGGAGGATGAGACTTTCACAAGGCTTTGAAGAAAAAGTGCAACTACCACACATATACTTCAAATAGTACAATGACATTCACAGTGGTAAAATTGCAGTCTGAAGACACAGCTGTTTATTTCTGTGTATGTGGCCCCTCAGTGTTACCAGACATCCATAAACCTACACAAATATGCAGTACATGAGACTAAGCCACCAACAATTAATAATAAAAACACAGGCTAATGCATAAATTAATATATTTTCATTCTGTTCATTAAAAAAACAAAAAACGTGTTGACATATTTTAGTTGTTAGATGTCTTAAAAGCAGTTTTCATCTTTTTCATATGTTTTTGTTTTGTCTCATTTTACATGTCTGTGAAATGAGAAAATGCGTTTCAGTGGATTTAAGCTAATTGTTATTAATGTATGTTGTACTTCTTTGATTACTTTTATTTTCTTGTCTTTTTTGTTTTCTCTCAGGGTATTACTGATAAAATCCATGTTTTACATATTTTACAGATTTGTATCATTATTAGTCAAGTTAAATAAACAGTTTAATCATAATTTAATGAATCAGTTTATTTTCTTTTTCTTGCACACTGTACATAATCTTTTTCTCTCTCACATGGGAGGAGTCAATGTAAAACTTGAGGTCTTAAGTGTACTTATCTGACTGCTGGGAACAGTGGACTCACAGTTTAACATGATGGACTGCAGGACAGGACTGCTGCTTCTAGCTGTCTTCTGGGCAGGTGATAAGTCCAACAGATCTTTTATTAATATAGTATATCTTTAGCCTTTTTCAACATTTTTGATATGTTTCACAATTTTTTTGGTTTTCCTTGACAGGTGTTGATGGTCAAACTTTAACAGAATCTGAACCAGCAGTTAAAAGACCTGGAGATTCCCACAGACTGACATGTACAGCTTCTGGATTCTCATTCAGCAGCTTTGAAATGAACTGGGTCAGACAGTCTCCTGGAAAAGGACTGGAGTGGGTTGCTTATATCAATAGTGGTGGTGGTAGCAAACACTATTCTCAGTCAGTACAAGGCCGGTTTACCATCTCCAGAGACAACAGCAGAGAGCAGGTGTATCTGCAGATGAACAGTCTGAGGACTGAAGATTCTGCTGTTTATTACTGTGTTAGAGAAGCACAGTAACAATAAAGAGAGAAATGCTGTACAAAAACCCATCACGACAAATTAAGTCAAAATTTGTTTTTCGGTGACAGAAATTAAATTTAACTTATGAACAAACTCAAAGATAAAATCAATTTGCATTATTGGTGTTTAATAAATATTTGCATTTGTTTTTGTGAACATTATCACCTTTCTTGTTTGAAATGTGTTTTTAAGGAATGGAAAAACAAACAAACAAACAAACAAAACCCAAAATGCTATGTTTCTTTTTATGGTTGCAAAGAAATTTGTCTTTGCTAATAATACTCTAAGACCAAGGAAAATCTATATTTCAGTTCCATTAAATTCAGTTCAATTTTATTTATATAGCCCCAAATCATAACAACAGGTACCTCAAGGCACTTTATATTGTAAGGTAAAGAATCTACAAAGGAGGAAGGCATGACAAAGGCACACTATGAAAGAGAGCCAGAGATTAACAATAACTAATTATTAAATGCAGAGTGATGTTTAAACACATAGAGTGTAAAGAGGTAATTGAAGAAGAAACACTCAGTGCATCATGGGAAGCCAGTTGCAGCATAACTTAGGGAGGATTCAGGGTCACCTGATCCAGCCTTAACTATAAACTTTGTCAAAAGGAAAGTTTTAAGCATAATCTTAAAAGCAGAGAGGGTATCTGTCTCCTGAAACCAAGTTCAAAGTTTGTTCCACAGAAGAGGGGCCTGCAAGGTGAATGCTGTGCCTCCTATTCTACTTTTAAATAAACTATGAACCAAAAATAAACCAGCAGTCTGAGCATGAAGTCAGGAGAATCCCACACACTGACATGTACAACCTCTGGATTCACATTTAGCAGCTACTATATGGGCTGGATCAGACAAAAGGGCTGGAGTGGGTTTCCACTATTGATAGTGGCAGTGGTAGCAGTAAATTCTACTCTCAGTCAGTTCAAGACCGGTTTGCCATCTCCAGAGACAACATCAGGCAGCAGCTGTATCTGCAGATGAACAGTCTGAAGACTGAAGATTCTGCTGTTTATTATTACACTCGACACTCACATTGACTAAAGGTGGTACAGCAGCTTTACAAAAACCTTCACAATTTTCGTAAATTATGGCAATCTTTACTTTGTCATTACAGACTTGGTCAAGGTGTTAGCTTTGGACAGGCTACAAACTATTCTATGAAGAATAAATCTGATATTAAAAAAAAAAGATTTCTGTTTCTCTTCTTCTGATGAAACTCACTTTGTCTGTCTTGTTTAAATGCCCATATTCATCGACAAGCTCACGTCTAAAAACACAAGATGTTTAGACTTAAAGATAATTTCCGGTTACAAGATGAGCTTCCTAACCCCCTGAAACACGGTCACACTTAATGCAAATTAATTCAGAATTCTAAAAGCTGATCCTCATAATATGGAGAGTTTAAAAATATGCCTGATGATTTAGAAATGCATAGAAAATTTTTTTTTTTTTTGTGTTTCATTTTTCAATTTTAAGCTCGGAGACTCATTCTTTTCACTTTCAACTCAATGTAACATTCATTTAAAGATTCACCATGGTCATCTACAAATATTACAGTTTAACTGAGTGTGAGTTGATCCTCTTGACATGTTTTGATGGTCTCTGACAGAATCTGAATTAATGGTAAAGAAAAAAAAGGTCTGGAAAATAACACAAAATGAACCTGTACATTCTCTTACTCTAAGTCTAGCATCTCCAGAGATGACTCTGACAGGAGTTTGCCTGCTGGAGTAAAATATATTTTTTGTAATATTAAGCTTGGTAATTGAAACAGATTGTCATTTGGTAGAAACTTCACTTTAAATACAGTCAGCTCATCCCTGAGGTTCTCAGTCATTCAGGTAGACGTAGTCTATAGGGAGCTTGGAAAGAAAAGCATCTGGACTTCTTTAAGTTTCCTTGAAGATTGGTGGAGAGTCACAGATTTTAAGCCCTATGGGAGTGTCCCTAAGAGGGTCATGGGTCCCCTATTGATCTTCTACCTAATCACACAAGCCAAGGTGTGAAAACGGGTGTGGGTCAGAATCAGCCAAGGTTTCGGGTGAACCCATTGTGAAACCTTGCCCTACCCTATAATGTGATTTACTGAGTTCAAATGGCCCAGGATGGGAGTGGGTGTTATGGCGTCTGGGAAGGAATCTCAAAACTGGATTATATAGATGGCAGACAGTTGGTGTCGTAAACCATCAACTGTCTGCAATCAACTTCAGCAACTTGAACTTCAGCAACACTGTGAAAGAAACAATAAATGTGCAAGGATCTGCAACACATTTAACAGAATTCATTAAGCTCAGACTGGAATTATTTTTCATACATAATTTGCTCGTTGTTCCACCATAGTATGCACTGTAAATTGTGCAGATACAGTTAAGCCCTTAAGGATTTGGATTAACTTTTGGTTCCAAATACTTCTGGACTTATCTGTACCTGCACAATACAGACACTAATTATTACTGTTTGTCTGTAGGTACTGAGGGTCAAACACTGACTGAGTCTGTACTAGTGATCTCACAGACTGACCTGTACATACGCAGGGTTCGGTGGTGATTATAATAATGCTTGGATCAGACAGGCTACTGGAATGGACTGTTAAAGTTGTTAGTGTAGGAAACAAAATTTTATCACAGTTTTTATACACTTTGCTATTAGTATTTATTTAGAAGATTTTTTACATGTTTCTGTGATACATTGAAGATTCAACACTCATTTTTTGGTTAAACAAAGGTATTGGGGGAAAAAAAGATGCACTGTACAAGTGGTGAAATGAATAAAACCAGCACCTGTTTATTTATAAGTTTAGTATCAATAAGCAGAAATGGAAAAGTGTATTCCTCTTTGAGGAGGAGGAGCTGATGCAAACTGATGTGCCATATTTGAATGTTTTTGTAGACTATAACACAGAGACTATATGACGGACATACACCACTATAGGTTTGTCATAGAAAGGGCTTTGATCATGGATCGACATGAGTTCATGGCTGTTGTTCTCATCCTGTCAATTAACTGGGCTGGTAAGGATATGACAGTGCTATTAGAAATAATTTAATACAAAGAAAAATGACATGTTTTAAATACAGAAGCTAATAATGTGATTGTCTGTAGGTACTGAGGGTCAAACACTGACTGAATCTGGACCAGTAGTCAAAAGACCAGGAGACTCCCACAGACTGACCTGTACATACTCAGGGTTCAGTGGCGATATTTATGCAGTTTGGGTCAGACAAGCTGCTGGAAAAGGACTGGAGTGGATTGCTAGAATCAGTGATGATAGCAACTATATCTCTTACTCTCAGTCAGTCAGAGGCCGCTTCACCATCTCCAGAGACAACAGCAGAAAGCAGCTGTATCTGCAGATGAGCAGTTTGACAACTGAGGATTCTGCTGTTTATTATTGTGCTCGAGAGTCACAGTGACACAAGAGGAAGAAACTGTGTACAAAAACTCAGCCCAAGTTAAAATGGGAAATTTACATTCACAGAAAGGAGCTGTAATTTAACATGCTCAGTAAAGTCATAGAAACAAAAAAATGTGTATGAATGATGGACACACTTATTCTCTCCTTGCTGCTCTCTTTATGCCCTGTGAGCGATTTTGTAGCTGTTTATAGTGATGCCAGTGGAAGTGTGAGGACATATAGAGGTCACCAAAGGTAACAGACCCAGTACGATCTATCACACTCATGGCCAGAGGAGTCTGTATTTTCCAAACTGTGAACTTTGCATATCTCTCCCCTTGACATGAGATTTTAACACAATGGGAACTCCTTCATTGTCTTTTTTCAACATGCAGGGTAGTCCAATAAAATCGTGCATCTTAACCCAAACCAAGATCTATTCACAACATAACCATCATCGCCTGTCAGAGAGTGGCTGCCAAACAATCACCAGCAGGAATCAATACAGTCAGTTCAGCCCTTTTTATTGTTATTGTGAATTTTGCCTCACAGTATCTTTGTTGGTTGGTAGAACATAAAAACATTAAATCAGAAGCAGGTTTGATTTATCAGGAATCATAACTGCTCAGTGAACACAAAATAACAAATATTCAACATACAAAGAAGTGTTTAAAGCTGTGATTTAAGCTCCACCTTCTCTTTCTAATCAGCTGAGTGACTTTGATTATGTATATAACAGTATGGATTAGAAAGAGTGCACAGGAGACTTTCATAAATACACATTGAACATGAAACGCAGCCACCAACACACTTCATAACTGGGGCATAGCCATGAATTTAAATGTATTTACCCTCAAATTATAAAGTAAATAAATAAATGATAAAAAAAAATATGTGTTTGTTATTTTTTTACATGCCTGTGTTTAATCTATTTCAATAAACACATAATATAATGAATCAATAACTTATCACACACACACACCCATCCTGCACATATTTTTTTTCTCTTAATCTCATGGGAGAATTCAATGTAAAACTTGTGGTATTGACTCTATTTATCTAACTTCTGGGGGGAGTGTGCACACAGAGTAACATGATGGACAGCAGTACAGGACTACTGCTTTTAACTGTCTTCTGGGCAGGTAAAGAGTCTAAAATATCTCTTTTTAATATGGTTTATCTTTAACCTTTTTCAGCATTTTTGATATATTTCACAAAATCCATTCTTGTGTAATTGACAGGTGTTGATGGTCAGACTCTGACAGAATCTGAACCAGTCATTAAAAGGCCTGGAGAATCCCACACACTGACATGTACAGCCTCTGGATTCACATTCAGAGACTACTATATGGCTTGGGTCAGACAGGCTCCTGGAAAAGGACTGGAGTGGGTTGCTTATATCAGTAGTGGTGGTGGTAGCAAACACTACTCTCAGTCAGTCAGAGGCCGGTTCACCATCTCCAGAGACAACAGCAGACAGCAGCTGTATCTGCAGATGAACAGTCTGAGGACTGAAGATTCTGCTGTTTATTATTGTGCTCGAGAGTCACAGTGATGCAAAAGGGAGAAATGCTACACAAAAACCCAGCACATTAAACTAAGTCAAAATTAGATTATCAGTGACAGAAATTAAATTTAACTGATGAACAAACACAGAGAAAAAAAAAAACTGTTGTTGGGAAAGGGCTAATGATTGTTTTCATTTGTATTTGGGCAAACCAGAGTCTGGTTTGTTTGAAATATGTTTTTCAGAAATTGAAAAACAAGAAAAAAACAAATAATAAACAAAAACACTATATTTCTCTTTATGGTATCAGTGTCTTTGCTTCTCCATGTGGCAGGAAAATCCATGTTTCTCTTATAATCATGTCTACATTCAAACTGGGCTAATTACAGACTGAAATAAAGACTCATATGAAACCCTCAATTACATCAGAAGAGGAGAAGCTTCCATCTGAAGCTGTTGCTGCTGACTGCAGGACACTGTAAACGCTTTTATGGCATTTACACCAACCATGTATTTTTTCACAGGTGCACAGTTTTAAGAGGTGAGACAGCCAGCCTCTCTGACTGTGCAGACAGGTCAACCTCTGAGTACTCGACATCAAACATGTTTTCTATGATGATTAGTAAGAGGAAAAATATTCTGGGATCATAAATCATTAATTCTACTCGAGTAATTCTCTCATTACTTGCAAATGCTAATTTTGTTTCCACATGTTTCTAGACATATGATAATGCATGCAATACCATAACTGAACTTCTAGCAGTGAAAGAGCCAGAGGCAGCTTGTATAACATGCTGATATAATAGCACAGGGCGATTGTTTCATGTTATAATCACATTTATTTTTAAAATCGTACAAAATGCTGTAACAGAAATGAGCACTCTTTTCTGATACAAATCTTCAGTCTGTGGAGTGGAGTGCCGAGTGGTCTTTTGTAATGTGTGGAGAGCAAGAGGGCGCATCTTCAGCCTCAGAGTGATGAACATAGTGATGTTTCTGCTGCCACTCTCTATTTAAAAAAAGACCTGTGGTAATAATGTAATTTTAAAGACCTCAGACTAATAATATGTCACATGCTAAAGATAGTGATCTGTGCTGGAGGTCAAATTCCAAATCAATCTGAATGTAATACCTGAAGATGTTCTATGTTTTGTTTTATAAGTCACAATAACAGAAAGCACCAGAGCTGAATTATACAAAAAAGCATCAGCAACTAACCACCACACATGCCAAGAGAAACTTGAACCACATTTTTATATTATATATCTCACATTTCGTCGAAAGTTTTGTTTGAAATTTTCTGTCACACCAATCACAGCTGAAAATAGACTACTGTATTAATATGGCGTTATTTTTGTGCCAGTATTCTGAGCACACATAAAAAAATTTTGAGCGCATGTAAAAAAAAAAGCATTTTAAGGAGAAAATTATTTTGAGCAAAGAAAAGCTTAATTTGAGCCAACAAGATTCATTGCTGCATGCATAAAATGTATTTCAGTGTTTGTTATTATCCATATACACACACTAACAGCCCGTCTCGCTCAGTTTTTGCATTTGCTCTTTCTCAGATCTCTGTGGACCTGCTCGCAGTGTGTTGCTTCCGCTCTCAACATATCTGCTCCCTGCTTGGTCAACTCTTTCTTTACACCATTATATTTGTGTCACAAAACCAACCAATCACAGACTTGGATGCAAAAATTCAGATTGGCTGTTCTGGTCTCCAATCAGCTCGCTAGCTACTGTAGCTAAACCCAGCCAAATATCCCAGAATGCATTTCGTCCAAAACTCAAACGTGGCAATGGCCGAGGAAAGTGGCTAAAAGGTTTAAAATATTAGACATCACATATTTAGAAAAGTGCTCTGATGTTTACGGAGATGCCTGTTACCCACCAGTTGACCGGGTGGTCAAGGCTCACTAGAGCTGGCAGAAGCATTGGACTCCCATCACATCGTTTTCAAACCACCCGCGGTCTTTCGCTACTCAGGTTAAACATTATATATAAGTCACTTGGATAACTTCTAAATGTTAATGTTTGGTTTATTTCAGTGTTTGATTTGTTCCTGAGTAAATCGGCTTGGCTGAGATTAAAGTTAAGCTTCATAACTGGACCGTTTTATTTAATACTGAAGTCTTTACTTGGAGAGCTGTCAGTATATTTTGAATTTCACCCGTCATATCCCCCAATGTAAAATGTTCTGTTCTTATTTAAACAGCTGACTCAGAATTAAATCTAAGATTAAAAACATTTAAATTCAGGAGCAAACATTTTCACCGTGAGCAAAAACAGCATGTTAATATGTAGAGATCCTGAAGGCTGCTCCAAAAATGATCAGATTATATGTTAAATATTTGTTCAATTCTCTTCCAAAACCCAGCTGTCTATTGTAAGTTTTGAGTGTCTACTAAAGTAAAAATAAAAGCATTGAAACATCTCACCTGTTTGTTAATATTCAGGCATACGTGTATACTACTTTTATTAATAGAGAGATTAAGCTTGTGTTTCTGTCATGTAGTGATTGTGCTTAACTGTATGAAGCTTATTAGACATTATGAAACAGATGATACGTAAAAGTGAATTTTGCCAAATTGCTTTAGATACTTTTTGAAATTATCTTTAAAAAAAAAATCGACATCATGTGTAATTTCCATTGCAAATATTAATCACAGTTAAATTAAGAGGGAATGGCAGTAAAAACTCCAGAATGGAGATGTCATTCTCGCGTTCTCGGGAATTTCGGACTCCCATGTGAACTTACAAAGTTTTTTTAGCGAGAACGCGAGTACGGACTCGCTTACTTGAGAATTTAGAAACAGACCCATTTTCGGTTAGTATGATTAATTATTTTATTTTAAAATATGTAATTTTTTAAGACCATTGTTGGTTTTAATCTAGCTTAAACCAAACCACTCCACTGGATTTAGCTACATTTTGGACAGTGCTCCCAGAATGCAGAAGCTAGCGAGCTGATTGGAGACCAAAACAGCCAATCAGAATTTTTGCATCCAAGTCTGTGATTAGTTGGTTTTGTGGCACAAATATAACAGTGTACAGAAAGAGTTGAGCACGCAGGGAGCAGAGATGTTGAGAGCGGGAGCAACACACTGTGAGGAGGTCCACAGAGATCTGAAAAAGAGCAAATGCAAAAACTGAGTGAGAGGGGCTGTTTTTGTGTGTGTATATGGATAATAACAAACACTGAAATACATTTTATGCACGCAGCAATAAATCTTGTTGGCTCAAATTAAGCTTTTCTTTGCTCAAAATAATTTTATCCTCAAAATGAAACACTTGTATTTGAAAATCTTTTTTTTTTACGTGCGCTCAATTTTTTTTTACGTGCGCTCAGAATACTGGCAAAAATAATGCCGTATATAAAACAAAATGAGGCAACACTGTGCAAATTAATGCATATTTAAATGCAGTTTCCCCCCTCCCTGTCAGGAGGAGTCATGCAAAACCTAGATGTTTCCCCCTTCTACTTATCTGACCAACAAAGAACAGTGGACACAGATCAACATGATGGAGTATTTGAAAGGACTACTAATTTTATTTATCTGCTGGGCAGGTGAAAACATCCTAACATAACACATGCTGGTCTTTTTTTCCATCAACCTATTTATGTTATTTATGTTCTTTTAAAAAAAAATTCTCTTGACAGGTGTTGATGGTCAGACTCTGACAGAATCTGAACCTGTGGTTAAAAGGCCTGGAGAATCCCACACACTGACATGTACAGCCTCTGGATTCTCATTCAGTGGCTACTGGATGGGCTGGGTCAGACAGGCTCCTGGAAAAGGACTGGAGTGGGTTGCTACTCTTGATAGTGGCAGTGGTAGCAGCAAATACTACTCTCAGTCAGTCAGAGGCCGGTTCACCATCTCCAGAGACAACAGCAGACAGCAGCTGTATCTCCAGATGAACAGTCTGAAGACTGAAGATTCTGCTGTTTATTATTGTGCTCGAGAGTCACAGTAACTGAAGGTAGTTAAGCAGCTGTACAAAAACCAAAAAAACCTTCACAATTGTAATAAAGCAGGAATATTCAACTAAAAGCTAAAAAGGTCCAGTGAGACATTTTGTTGATACAAAGGTCCCTAATGATCATAATTATTTATTGTCTCATTATTTAGTGTGATATATAAATAACACACCTGAGTGTCAAATGAAATTAAATCAGTACAATTAAAAAAAAAAACTTCTGACAAGAAATTTGACAAATAATTCAAAACCTCAAGCACCATAGAACTGAACATATATGTATCACTGCTGAAAATTCCCACCATTGAAAGGTGAAACTTGTGCATGTTCAAATGAAGTGCTTAACTTCAGGGAAGCTTCATGCGAGAAGCTTCTTCATTTCTAACTGAAGAACTGAAGAAGCTTCATGGATGAGAGGTGAAACGTCTTCAAGAAACTTAAAGAAGTCCAGACGCTTTTCTTTCCAAGCTCTTTAGACTACAAAGACCTGGATGACTGAGAACCTTCACAGACATGTTACATATTGATACTTCTTAACCAGGCAACAGTGTACG